GACAGGACGTCCATGTCGAGAGGAAGAAAAATGTTGATTTTGTATTGTTTTTTACAGGTTAGGATGGGACCACCCGGATGGGCCCCCTATCTGCCGGCCTGAGGGGGGAGGAGGAGTATATTCTAATAAGGAATAAGGATAGGAGTAGGAGTAGGAGTAGGAGTAGGAGTAGGATAGAGAGTAGGAGTTAGTAGTAGTAGTAGTAGTAGTAGTAGTAGTAGTAGTAGTAGTAGTAGTAGTAGTAGTAGTAGTAGTAGTAGTAGTAGTAGTAGTTGTAGTTAGTAGTAGTAGTAGTAGTAGTAGTAGTAGTAGTAGTAGTAGTAGTAGTAGTAGTAGTAGTAGTAGTAGTAGTAGTTTCTGTGTGCTGTCTCCCCTCCTGCCTTTTACCCCCGTCCCAGCAACGGGCCCAGGAGGGCGGCATCGAGGCCCGAGGAGATCCCTAGGGACGCCCAGGGGCTCCTAGGGAGGCATGCGTAGGGATTCCCGACGATCCCTAGGAATCCTTAGGGATTCCTGGGCATTCCTAGGGATTCCTAAGGGATTCGATCACGGAAGGTTCACGTCGACGTGGCGCGGGCGTCGGATTCTGAACACATCGCGGATCGTTCTGCAGCGCCGATGCCGGAGATCACTCCAGGCTGGCCGCCTTCGGGCAGCTGGTGAGACCTAACCCTGGACGCCCGCGAAGGCGTTGCCGCCGTGTCAATGCGCGGCGTGGACCTGTCGCATCTGGGCCTCATCCTCTTGCGGGCAAGACTTGTATCCATATGCACTGCGTATTGGACTTTCTGGGAAGGAGCGTCAAAAGGCCGACGCGCATGGAATATATATATATATATATGTATGTGGAAATCAAAGCCTCTAGGGAACAGACATTTACCCATACCCACTGCGCCTTCGGTTTCTGGGGAAAGGAACCCGAAACTCCAAGACGCAGTGGAATTCGAATACGGCATGTTCGCGCCTCGCCGACCCCAACGCTGGTTCCTGACACAGCGGGGTGCTTTCATCCCTGAACGATCAGCCGCTTCCGAAACATCAGATCGCTCAACCTCGACCGACTCTGGGTCGCTGGGAGCAACAAGCACTCAACGCCGGCGGCGGGGTCAAATCTACCAAGCAAAACTTGCCCGCATCCTCCGAGCAGGGACCGACCGTCCGGGCATTCCTATAGTCCCTCCACGACATGTTCTTAGAACCCAATTATGTTCTAATGACAACAACAGTGTCTGTAGGACATAAGCCCGATGTGCAGAAACAAAGCAGTCCCAGCCAGAAATATTCTGAGAACATTTCATGGGAGCCACAAAAAGTTCTCAGAACACTGTCTGGTGGGACCATAAGCGAGCCGGGACTAGGGGAACAGAAAGTGACATGAAC